ACACTACACACACACACACCACACACACACACACACACACATATATATATATATATATACCGATACCATCCAAAATATTATAATACATTACCTGCTTTTGCATAGTGAGTAAATTTCCGGACACTGCTCTCGAGTAGGTACTTATAGATGTCCTCCTCGGCCTCGCCAAACTGCAAGAGATATAAACAGAACGATTTTAGAGAAATCGATTGTTTATGTATCGCCAACTTCAAAAATTATAACATGTAGCGAACTATATCGGCCTAACAAGTTTTGGTTATTAAAAACATATTGTATCGCAATTCAATATGCACCTGGAGGTCAATTTCCCAAGTACATGAATCGTGACAACCAGTTAACTAAACATGCGTACGTACATACCGATCGTTCTTCCTGTACCACCGTTTTCTTGGGCATCTCCACCAATGGCTTGCCCTCGTCATTCGTCTGTGTTTTCAGACGTCTGAGACACACCATCTGCATGAGAATTTGCAATCGTCTAGCTTTCGCTTTGGTGATCACACTGGATTTTGACCCAGTACCGATATGGTTTTGGAACCACAGCCAATCTCCGTAGGGCTTGGCTTGCAGGAAATGCAGGAGAGAGTACAGTTCTTCCAGGTTGTTCTGTGGGATGATGGGTACGATGTTAGAATCAATGACGACCTTGTACAGGGCAAAATAATCTGAATGCCAATATTTTGTAATGAAGACAGTTTTGGAATTACATTCAATCACCGTAGGGAACGAATAGCAAAAAGTGAGAGGGGCTAACTCCGACCATATGTATAATCCGATTTTGCATAAGAAATATGACAATCATACATAGGAGAACTACCAGTCTTGTATCAGATAATTGTCGGTCTAGCATAGGGTAAATGCCAAATACATGATATAAATGCCATCGGCGTGGGATATCGAAGTCATGTGCAAATACCAGCACGAAGAGTTATTTTGCTACTATTTCTAATTTTTGTACGAAGCAATGACTATTCCTACTGTGATGATGAGAAGCCCGTCCCGATCTTGCTATCACGAGAATTAGCCAAATGACACTTACATGAGTATATACTACTTGGACCGACGACGTACGTGTGCAATTGTTGCTAACATATTTCTACCTAATTCGGCTACTAAAGATCAAACATAGTAAATATGAAAACAAGTAAAATTATATACATACCCTTATCGGCAAATTATAATTAAAAGGTATTCATAAAATCAGCATATACCCACCATCAATGGCTAATGTATTTAACAAAGTAGTTGTAAAGTCAAAGTAATCTATTTCTACCTATATTCACAAGAAAAATTAAATAAAAAAGTAGTCATATCGCCAGTCTTGTATCTGCCTAATCGAGTTCTAGGATATAGTTGACGCTTATACCTACTAATATCGGTGATCGAAAATTCACAGGAGTACCATTAGTATCATTAGTATACATATCTACTTATTCCGGCTACTACGATCGCCAAAAAACAAGTTTATGTAAGATCAATAGAAGACATATCTACTTGTGTCGGCTACTGATGGCCAAAAAGAGTACTTGTAGTACCGATATTTGGTATACCAACCTGTATAGGCGTTCCCGAGAGACACCAGCGATACTGCGCTTTCAACTTGAAGGCAGCTTGAGCGCGACCACTCCTGCGGTTCTTAATTACCTAGAAATATATGATAAAGCCTTGTGAGTTTATGAGCACAGCTTGCCAGTCCGAAACCCTAGCGGGCCCTGTCACGCTCAACTAAGAAACAGGAACGATCAACTGATGAAAACGTACACCCAAATAGAAAAATCGTACGCTCAGCTGATGCAAAACATATCGGTCCCTCGTCAATCATGATTCGATTCCATCGTATATTACAGACAGGTAGCGCCATAGGCTCAGGTGATCTAGAGCACACTTAATTAAAGCGTACGATCAACTGTCAATTACGTAAACGCAGTTATGCAAAACGTACAATCAGCTAATAGACATGTACCTGTGCCTCGTCAAATATGATCCTGTGCCATCGTACTTTGTACAACGGAGGCTTCATGGGCTTTGGTGATCTGATACCGTTCTTCTTGTCAATCTCATAGCTCTCCAAAGCCTGAGGATGAGAAGTATCAAAGAATAAATATATTTCGTTGAGTGTGTTGCAAGGATAGGGACAATATCAAACTAGTTACGCGCGAGCATCAACGCTTCGATAGAAATGGAGGTCAAAAGAGATAGAATCGCAGGAAGAGAACATGACATTATCGAAAAAGCACAACATGTAAATCCTTAGCTTGACACCAATACTACACTTGCGCGTAAAATTTGGAGAGAAGTTGAATGTAGTAATATATGTATATACACACTTGCGATGGCGTGGAACTAATAATATCTCAGGTATGTGTTGACAGCTATGAACTCGTTCATATGATGTAGGTTAGCCTGCTACGCATTCATACGTACCTATCAGCGAAACGCGAGCACTCAACCACCAATATACAGCAAATTACAAGAAAAAAAATCCCCTCCATCGGTTGGCCCCACCTTCTGATAGGCTTTATATTCTCCCGCTAGTGTACCGCCCGTAGTAAGTACGACATCTGGAATCGTGGGCCTGGCATATGTGTTCGCCTCCAGTCTTCGCTGCACTCCTGTCTTTGTGGCTCCATGATATATACACACCTCCAGTGTGTTGTTACTCTGTGATACAAAATGTGCGAGAATGTCGTCATGTGCGATAAGTACATATGAACACTCTTATCAATACTTGGACTCATCAAATTATAAATGAAGGGGAAAAAGTATACTAACGGCGTACGCTATTCGAAACGGTTAAACCATATGTGATAGAAATACGCTACCTTGTGATATAGCGCTTTTTGACCAACATAGTAAAAAAAAGAAGTGATTACAACCGCAGAATATTGGGTTGTATATGGACGCCTACAACGAAAGTAGTTAAAAGCACTTGCCGTTGACAGCGAAACTAGATAAGTGGCAAATGAAGGCCTTCATGTACAGACTGCGTGTCTAGAAGCATTACAACAAGAATGTGAGATATCCATCATCAGTTTTATTTTACTCTGTCCAATCAAGATCGTAATTAAGAAAAATGGAAGATTAATTTGAAAGCTCACATCCCTAGACAGATAACAACTTGGGTCCTTACTATCATTCAGTAATTCGCAAGCTGTATGAGAGTCGCTAAGGTTATAATATACACGAAAAACGACCTCATGTGCATATGCTATCACTCCATATAGTTTGATAGTATCTACTATTCCTTTTGTACCATGTACAGCACAATATGTATGGCTATTTGTTCAACCAGATTTCCACAATCTCCATTTTCGAAGATATTACGTGCCTACCTGTTTCTGTAGCTCCTGGTACCATACCATTGGCACAACAAGGATATAATATACATACGCATGTACATAAACTGATAAATGAATATTCTAACAGGATCTTAGGGTTTAAATGTACAGTTTTAAGCGATTGCCACGTACCTTACATCGTATCGCAATTACCACCTACCATGCATCGTATCTCCTGCACCCACTGACTCACAACAGCTACGGGTAGCACAATTAGGGTGTGTCCCGGATTGGACATCATCACAGTGATGGCTTGGACCGTCTTGCCTAAATGACATTCATAGGGCGCAAAATTAAGTTATGCTCAATAAACACGACTGGTATCATAACTCCCTAATACAATATTTACACCTTGAATGGACACAAGCATCGAAAGGCATACAGAAATATCCTACAGCTGAGATCCTTAGTATAATGGTATCACATTCCCTTACACACATACACACAAACACACACACACACACACATATA